AACACCCCAAAACTGGGCAAAGACCCCCCAGAGCCGGATCACCTGGGGGGGAGACACAGGGGTCAGGGGGACCCCAAAACACCCCCAAAACACCCCAAAACTGGGCAAAGACCCCCCAGAGCCGGATCACCTGGGAGGGGAGACACAGGGGTCAGGGGGACCCCAAAACCCCCCCAAAACCCCCCAAAACTGGGCAAAGAATCCCCTGGCAATGGCTCATCTGGGGGGGCACAATGGGGGGGTCAAGGGGACCCCAAAACCCCCCTCAAAAAACACCCCAAAACTGGGCAAAGACCCCCCACAGATCCATCACCTGGAGAGAGCAAAGTAGATTGTGGGGTGCCAGAGTATATTTTGGGGGTCCCAGAGTATATTTTGGGGTCCCAGGGCAGGTTTTGGGGTTCCAGGGTAAGTTTGCGGTCCCAGAGTACGTTTTGGGGTCCCAGGGCAGGTTTTGGGGTCCCAGGGCATGTTTTGGGGTTCCAGGGCGAGTGTTGGGGTTTCCAGGGCAGGTTTTGGGGTCCCAGAGTATATTTTGCGGTCCTAGGGCAAGTTTTGGGGTCCCAGGGCGGGTTTTGGGGTCCCAGGGTGAGTTTTAGGGTCCCAGGATATATTTTGGGGTTTCCAGAGCGGGTTTTGGGGTCCCACGGCAGGTTTTACGGTCCCAGAGTTATTTTGGGGGTCCCACGGTCTGTTTTGGGATCCCAGAGCAGGTTTTGGGGTCCCACAGCATATTTTGGAGTCCCAGGGTGCATTTTGGGGTCTGAGAGCAGGTTTTGGGGTGCTAGGGTATATTTTGGGATCCCAGGATGTGTTTTGGGGTCCCAGGGCAAGTTTTACGGTCCCAGGGTATATTTTGGGGTTTCTGGGGTGAGTTTTGGAGTGCCAGACTCTGTTTTGGAGTGTCAGGGTATATTTTGGGATCTGAGAACAAGTTTTGGGGTCCTAGAGTATATTTTGGGGTCCCAGGGCAGGTTTTGTGGTTTCCAGGGTGGGTTTGGGGGTCCCAGGGCAGATTTTGGGGTTTCCAGGGTAAGTTTTGGGTTTTCCAGGGCCGGGTTTGGGGTCCCAGGGTATATTTTGGGGTCCCAGGGCAGGTTTGGGGGTTTCCAGGGCAGGTTTTGGGGTCCCAAAGTATATTTTGTTGTCCCAGGGTATATTTTGGGGTCCCCGGGCAGGTTTTGGGGTGCCAGGGCAGGTTTTGGGGTCCCTCACGTGGGGGTGCTCCTCCATCTCCCGCAGGGCTTTGATCTCGCGCAGGGTCTGGGGGGGGATCCCGTCCTCGGGTCTCCTCAGGGGCACCTTCTTCAGGGCCACCAGCTCCCCGCTCTGGGGGGGCACAGGGGGGGCTCAGAGGGGTCTCTGGATCCCCTGACCCCTCCCCCAACCTCACAGAGCCCCCACAGACACCCCCCCAAACCCCACAGACTCTTCAAACCCCACAGACT